TTGCGTTCACTACGACGATCATTTCTTCATTTTCACGATTTATATCGTCCAGTACTCCCTTCACACGACAGGCTTGCAGTTTCTTGTGTATGGAGTCCTTAGCTAAACTTTGGTGCAATTTACGATCCATCATTGATCGGAACAAAGGAGAAAAATGGATGATTTTACGGAGCCCCCCGGGAGGTGACTTTCCCTGCGCTTACTGGGGCTAGGAATCCACGAGAGCTTCACTTTTGGCCTTGGCTAAATCTTTATACTAACATTGTCTTAATTATCAAACAGACTTACAGTTCAAGGCTTATAACTGGGTTTCTTTGCATTCTGTGACCACTTTGGACGAAATTGAAAACCTCTCTTCCGGTCATTCCATCGTAGGGGTTTCCTCCTGAAAAAAGCAGCTCAATTAAAAAGCCTGTAAACTTGCGCTAATTTTCGACATATATTGAGTGCACAGAAAACACCCAAGAATACATGTAGACATTATGGACTTCTTTTATTATTAGAACTTTTTAAACACGTGTCAATGTTTTTTTTTATAAATAACCCCGCTTACAGTCGGCAAATGGCGCAACACAAGCGAGTCATTATAATCGCTCGACTGAAGAGCAGTCGACTGTGAGTCGTCTCCCGACGATACCATTCAATCAAAATCAATAACATCACTGATAGTCAATAAAAATCAATAATAATTGGTTGATTGATATTGAAAATCAATAAAAATCAAAGCCGCAGTCTCGAGTGATTTTTGATTTTAATTGATTTTTATTGAAAACTAAAATGTGCTTTCTTTTTGTTTTAAACAGGTCACGCGGCTTAGAAAATAAACCCAATCAAGTTTTCATGGTCCGATCAACGATAAATTAAGAAATTAAAAAGGTACAACAGAAACAACAGTACAAACAACAATTTATTATCTTCCTGTACCACAGGCAAAAACCGTAACTGAAGTGTACCTGAAATAGATGGGTGGGCCGGAAGCTCTAGGAACGGCTCACAGGATTGGTTTAGAAAACAACAGATAGCCCTAACCTAAAAAAACTAACAATGAACCCCAACTCTAAAACAACAGAGCTTCGGGCCAACAAGAACCTATCAAATTAGAGGTTCTAAAGAGGTTCCGGCCAACAGAAATAGATGCATACGTGCAGCCCTTAATGTTTAACTGAGCATGACGTTATACATGTCCTCGAGCCTGCCTTTAATTCTGTTTAATACATTTATCGAATTCTTAGCTGAATATGCACTTACGCAGATATATCTACTTGATGTGGCCAAAGTGGGCTGACAAGCTCCGCTTGGAGATGGCCAAGCTGGCCTGCCTCTTTCACTGAAAACTTTGAATGCGTTACTGCATTCTCTACTCCTCTTGGAGGAAAGGAAAACACTTCCTCTTTCTTTACTCTAAAAGTACAGTGGTGATACCTTTTTTTACTCTTGCACCATCAGCTATTGATTATCAATAGCAATCAATGTAAATCAATAACGCTTAGACGCATCGGTGAGTGATTATCGATTTTTATCGATTGGCTACGCCAATCAATATCAATCAATAGATTTTTATTTACAATATTGATTGAAATCAATAATTGATTTTCATTGATTGGTATCGTCGGGGTCGTCTCCAACTGGCTCGGTCTTAGGCAGTGCGCACGATGTCATGCTCTGAGAAATGCTTATTGGGGTCAATCCATTCCCGGAATTGGCTGGAAAAGAACTTTTACGGTCTCCCTGGGGGTCTTCTCCCATGGGAGGGCTTAGACAACGCGAGAATCTTTAATAGCGGATTCATCCTCNAAAACTAACAATGAACCCCAACTCTAAAACAACAGAGCTTCGGGCCAACAAGAACCTATCAAATTAGAGGTTCTAAAGAGGTTCCGGCCAACAGAAATAGATGCATACGTGCAGCCCTTAATGTTTAACTGAGCATGACGTTATACATGTCCTCGAGCCTGCCTTTAATTCTGTTTAATACATTTATCGAATTCTTAGCTGAATATGCACTTACGCAGATATATCTACTTGATGTGGCCAAAGTGGGCTGACAAGCTCCGCTTGGAGATGGCCAAGCTGGCCTGCCTCTTTCACTGAAAACTTTGAATGCGTTACTGCATTCTCTACTCCTCTTGGAGGAAAGGAAAACACTTCCTCTTTCTTTACTCTAAAAGTACAGTGGTGATACCTTTTTTTACTCTTGCACCATCAGCTATTGATTATCAATAGCAATCAATGTAAATCAATAACGCTTAGACGCATCGGTGAGTGATTATCGATTTTTATCGATTGGCTACGCCAATCAATATCAATCAATAGATTTTTATTTACAATATTGATTGAAATCAATAATTGATTTTCATTGATTGGTATCGTCGGGGTCGTCTCCAACTGGCTCGGTCTTAGGCAGTGCGCACGATGTCATGCTCTGAGAAATGCTTATTGGGGTCAATCCATTCCCGGAATTGGCTGGAAAAGAACTTTTACGGTCTCCCTGGGGGTCTTCTCCCATGGGAGGGCTTAGACAACGCGAGAATCTTTAATAGCGGATTCATCCTCCATACGCAAAATGTGGCCAAGGAACGTGAGCTGACGTGAGATGACCGTCGATAGCAAAGGGCTAGTGCCAGTGAGGTCGTAGATTCGGTCATTTGAGACTTTGTCCAGATGTTGATGTTCAAAGCGATACGCGCAGATAACGAGCCATAACAGTTAAGAAACCAGATTACTCGCATGTCCCCAGTTCAAGCATTCAAAGATGGGTCGGGACTAGAGGCTACTATTACCGTGGTTTCAGTTCAAATCTGATGTTTCTTCTGATGGTTTTCGCCGTTACCATAAAGCATTTTGGCAGAAGTAGATGACAAAAAGCGAACTGATTTCCTTCTTTTACATTAACCTTAAGCTTTAGAAACACTTACTTACCGAGGGTAAATATTTCATACAGTACGATCCCGTAACTCCACCTAAATTGACAAAAAGGTTATGGCAGACGACTAGCCTGCGCATACAGACATTTTTCCGGTCGTCGCTTCTCTCCACCCAAATTTTTTCGGGGTTGGAGATAAGCGACGACCGGAAATACGTCTGTGTCCGCAGGCTAATGGCAGGACTAAAGCAAAAAAAAAAACATTAAGACGGGTGTTAAGGGCTGGTCGTTTATTGGCTGTGAGGGGAGGGGGCGTTTTGCTGGGGGTCATTTCAAACTCTTGATTGGTTTGGGGGGGTCATTTTCAGATAAGTGAGCGTTACGTGCGGTTCATTTTAATAAATTTCATGAAAATAGTACAGAGCAGTAACGAGCGTGATTTGAAATTGCCTGTAAAAGCAGTAAATAGTAAACACCGAACTTATAAACACGACTATGAGTAGACAGAGTATGTGGTGAACTTCGGCATAAATTGAAGCTCTCTAAATCTATAATTCAAGTTTACTATCAACTTACACGTCACTCTCTATGGTATAAACTTGATATTTTAACGACTCCACCGCCATCCATTTCACAGGTACCAGACCCTAACAGTGAAAACACAAACTATCTTAAAATTCTTTTTTAGAACCTGCTTACACCGAGCAACAGTTACTGAAATGCCCTTATTCGTGGTAGGAAAGCTAGGTCTTTCATGTTACCAGTATTCTTAAATCCACGTACAGTCTTTCCTTTCCTCTTTCACTGTTAGTAATGGAGAAGGAAGAGCAAGGAAACGACACTCCAAAACACACAGTACGACTGAAAAACTTAAAGTCAAGCACGCAAAATACCCTGTCTTCTTTCAGTCCTCTTTAAGCGATATGTAAAAGGATCTGGAAGGAGACAATCGGGAGTTTACCTAACGACGACGGCGGCGGCTACGATAACGTCACTTAAAAAGTGAATTTGCGCCGCGTCAAACTTTATCGCGCTTATTCCATCTTGTTTAATTCGTCAAATGCTGGCAAACGTTTTTGGAGTTGGATTCTAAAGGACTGCATCAAAGTTCAGGAAAAGAAAAAGAAAGTTGTTTTCTTTTGGTCCTGTCCTCGAAAAAACGTGAAATTAGGCAGTTTAACGTTGTACTCGTGCAACAACGACAGAGAAGTGTACAAAAAACCGTGATGCACGTGCAAAGTNGAAAGTTGTTTTCTTTTGGTCCTGTCCTCGAAAAAACGTGAAATTAGGCAGTTTAACGTTGTACTCGTGCAACAACGACAGAGAAGTGTACAAAAAACCGTGATGCACGTGCAAAGTTGTTGTTTTGCTTGTCTAAACCTATTGCTTTTTTGCCGTTCTCGTTGCCGTCGTCGTCGTCGTTGCGTTAACACCCTAATACAAGACGCTGGCAATTCTTCATTCCGACCCCAGCAAGAAAGTCTTCACTAACTAAGGCCATGTTCACCTATCCCGGATAACTTCTGCGTTCTGGCTTATGCGCCGCCCCGAAAATCATACCGGATGAGGCTTCTCTTCACACACGAGAACGGTTGTGGCGGCACGATTTCTGTGACGGAGCGAAGTTGCGCCGCGCAGATCTCGTAAGTGGAGAGTCACATATCGGATAGGTTTTGTGTGACCACCTATTTGGCCCGTCACGGGAGTAAATAAGTGGGAGCGAGAACTGGAACCCACTGAGACGGAAGTAAAAAATATTCAGGATTAAGGAATAGAATTTAGTACACCAAACTCTTTTCGCCAACCACGCCGGCACAATGTTCGACGTGTGTGAACGACTTGTGTCGTCCTGGGCCGTTGCCATAGCCTGCGTAGCCGGCAGTATTGTGTCGGTGCGCGATTAAAGGTTTGGCGGCAGAGCAGTGATCCAAAAAAGGGAGTGGGGACGAGGCGTTATACCGCCAGTTACGCAGGCTACCGTTGCTGTTCATACCATATATACCGAATAGCTTTTCGCGTCACCACGTAAAGCTATTCGGTATCGTGTGAACACAGCCTACGTCTAGTTGATCTAAAATGAGCCTGCAAACTAAACAATAGAAGTAGGCACCCAAATTACGTTTCTATGGGAACTCACATTGGATTTCTTGACATAAATTTCAGAGCTTCCCAGGTCCCTTGCCATTCCAAAGTCAGTGATCTTGCATCGCAGGTTATCACCAATTAATACGTTCCGGGCAGCTAAATCTCGGTGGATAAACTGTCAGGAAATCAAAACAAGAAACGCCTGTTATTTTTCATTTGAGTAACAACAAACTGGGGTGCATACTTCACTATTGTTTTCGCCCCTTTGAGCCCTGTCATCACCAGACTCCAGATAAATTATCAAATTGACTTACCAGCCAGAAACTCTGAAAGATGAAGGAGACAATAATAAACTCTGGAATCTCTAAAAATAAACTAAAGGAGCCCTTGTCTCCAATGCAACACTTAAACAAATGTTCCATGTTCAAGAGTCCATACTTAAACTGCTCTTCGATTCTGTTATCTCCACTATCAATGCAAAGGTTGACAAGTTGGCGAACTCTGTCGCGACTTTCAAAGCAAGTCTTGAATACACACACACAATAAAAAAAGACGAGGGGGATTTATCGTCCTCAAAATCGCAACTCCAGGGCGCTGAGAAAGATATGGATGAAATCAAAACTGCCATGGGTCTTCAGGAAAATAAAAAAATAGAGTACCTCGAGAACCAAAGCGGACGAAACTACAGCAGTGTCTGGAATACAAGAGTCGGCTTGCGGGACGTGCGAAGTGGTTGAATCGAAAGTCAGAGATCAAGGATATGGTTAGTTTTAAAGTTTAATCGAGCGAGCACACCGAGTTTTATAGCGTATAAAGAGTAGACGGGTGGAATTCAACACCAAGCTCATCCAAAGCCGAGAGTAACTGTTTGCCGACCTTGTGACTGGAAACAATAGGAAGCTGTTCTCTAGAAAGCAATAAAAGAAAAGCCAGAGGGCCTCCTATTTGTGAAGACCTTTCTCAAGTTACACTGAAAAAAAGAGTCTTACGTGGAGAAACTCAAGGAAGCCAAGGAGGAAGGAAAATTAATAATAATAATAATAATAATAATAATAATGATAATGATAATGATAATGATAATGATAATAATAATAATAATAATAATAATAAGAAGAAGAAGAAGAAGAAGAAGAAGAAGAAGAAGAAGAAGAAGATGAAGAAGAAGAAGAAGAAGAAAGGTCTTTATTGTTTTTAAGCAAAAATACATGCTAAAAACCAAGAACATTTACTTTAAAAGCAGCAGGAAGAATTAAAAGGCCTTAAAAATTCCAAGTAGAAGCATTGAATTTAACATTCAAGATTCTCATTACATTAAATAGCTACTCTATATTTGAAAGACAGCCTATTAAAAAAACTATTTTTAAAACGCTGGGTATTAACCCTAGGGAGTTGACGGCTAGGACCTCGGAGGCGCGTTGAACTTTAGCATATTTTATCTTAGATCGCTTTACCACTCGTGATAAACATTTCCAAATGGTTAAGTATTTGTACCGACTTATACGTGCTTTTTGACACATTAATGGATTAACATTTATTCATTTAAACGAAGAAGACGTTCAATGTTTGAGCAGTTAAATGGAGCTTTACGTTAGGATCTCGATAGATTAGCTAGCCTCAGGTTCCTTTATTACCTGAAATTTTAGCCTTTGTAGCAATCATGATCCTGATGCTAATTCTTTTCAGAGTTAGTTTAGTAGTGTTATTAAGACCTGGCTTCTAGAATCATGCCAATATTTCAAATCATAATTTCATCGACATACCTCGTAAAGATAGGACCGGTGTAGGACGTGTAAGTTTACATTTAGCTGACGAGTGTCAATTTAAATGTTGACCTGACCTAGATTTTACATTTTTAAAAAATAGTTTTTAATGATTTAGAAACAAGTTTTACAATGTTTTATAAGAATAATTACTAATTAAATAAATTATACAATTCAACATAACATAAAAGAAAAACAAAAAAGGGTAAGAACAACAACGACAAAAAGAAAAAAATGGAATGGGGATTTTTTCCTTTTTTTTCTTCTTGCTACGAATCATGACGATTCATTCTTTCAACAGTAAAGATGCTTGTCGACACGTAATTGGTGATAATGTCACGCTGATGGTATTGGCCCCGGTGGATCTGTTTCAACTGCAATCGGATTACAGGAAAATAACAACATATTCCGAGAAAGTTAGTTGTCAATCATAATTACCACCTGACGAAATAAACAACATGGATAGAAATCAACCAATTACAACCTAATGACAAAATAGCAGCTTATGTCAAGGAAATATGTCTTCTCTGTGTTGTATGCAAAGTTTCGAATAGAACTGGTTTCCTGGAAAACGTTTGCTATTGAAATTAATCTTTAAGCTTCGAGTAACTTACGGTTTTTTTTCTTTACGAGCTGCTAATTGGCCCACAACAAACTTTCTTGGAATGCATTGTTATTTTCCTGTAATCCGATGGCAATGTAAGTACAATGCTAGCGGTTTTATAAACAACAGGCGCTCAGTGGGAGTCTAGAATTCTCTTCAATCGCTCTTTTTCTTCACTTTTCAATTCTTCAACGTCACTATTCAGAAAAGATACTTCTTTATCCATCGTAGTGACATACTTTTTGAACTGCTTGGCATCTTCAACTTTTTCAACTGCGCTCTCAGGCTTGTTAACCGTCGATTTTAACTGGTTAATTGTTTCAATTACTGTTTCTAGTTTGGTTTCTAAACCTTCAAGTTTGGATAAAATGAGCTTCAATTGTTTATTAATGTATCCATATTGCTCGTTACTTCAAGGGCTTCACAGTCGTCAGTTAAAATGGCGTCTTCTAGTATCTCATCAGCGATGATGTCTTCGTTGCAAACTCTCTTCGCTCCTCAGTGGTGATTTTGCTTCTTGGTCGAAGTCGCTAGTTCTAGTTTTCCTTTTAGTGCTGTAAAGAAGGTCTCCCAAGTATAGAAAAAAAGCCCAAAATATTCAACGTTATTCGGGAGCGAGAAGAAACATGTCCTCACATGGCGAGAGCTCGACCCAATCCCACCTAGTTTTTTCATGCACTGATGAATGTGTAGTCAATGTTTCGGGCCCGAAAGAGAAAAATATAACTGAAGGAGTTTCTTTCACAAATATACTACCATGCTTTTCTCTAAAAAACGTGAATGTTACTCCGCTTTTCACAAACATGCGAACTCTAAAGTTCAAAAGCCGCCTTCACAATTGCGTTTTTCGCTGCCGCCAATCATAATTACGATAACAAGCAACGAACCTTGAAACATAGAAACACACAAAACGGATCGAAATCCACCAATCACAAATCAGAAACCACGACCTTTTGAACCTGTTAAAGTAAAGTTTTGTTTCCTAAGAGGTCCGATAAGATGATTGACGGCAGTGAAAAACGCAATCGTCAGTTGGCTTTTGAACTTCAGAATACGCATGTTTGTGAAAAGCGCAATAAGAATATTACTTCGAGCAAACCCTTGATAAATAGAGGTATTCTTAAATCCGTAAGAAAAAAAAAATATATAAAAGCGTTTCACAGTAATTAAACACAACTTCATATCGTGAACAACTATAAAAACAAACTGACCCATTCCATTCGCGCTGCTTAATGTCATATTGCAATAACAAAAATTAGATGGAAATGAATCAAATGCGAAATCTATTTGGAAATTACTCAACGAACTTATTAACAACAAGAAAAGTAAGTGTTCTTTAACTTCGTTCTTCAAAACTACCATTAAAGAAATATTAATCCTACTCATAAAGGAAACCATTTTTGTGAGTATTTTACAAATATTGGGCCTAACTTAACTAAATCAATTCCGGCCTGTGATAAATCTCATCGTTCTTTATTGAACCAAAGTTTTATAATCTGCGCACCACTGGCAACGTACTATTTTAATTGACTTGTCTCTAATTACATTATTGGAGTACCCCACCAAATGAAAATTGTGCGAGTAGTTTCTTTGCTTAACTCAGGTGATAACTCTGTTTATAAATTGATAGACCTGTATCAGTTTTACCGGTTTTCTCCAAATTCCTAGAAAGAATCGTCTACAACCGCCGGATAAATTTTAAAAATAAATATGAGTTCTCCTCTCCCGGAATCAATATGGACCCAGAAAATTCACACATTCTTAAATCTAGTAGTATGATAAGATCTCTGACGCACTTGATGTATAATAAGAAGGTCACTTAAGGCCTATTCATTGACCTATCAAAGGATTTTAATACAGTAAATCAGTAAATTTTGCTTCAGAAATTAGAACATTATGGAGTAAGTGATGTTGCATTGCTATGGTTTAAAAGCTATCATACTTGTCGAGAACAATTTTGTGCCGTATAATGGTTACAACTGTTTGCCGTCAGATATTACTTATGGAGTTCTTCAGGGCTCCATATTGGGTCCTCTGTTATTTTCGGTATATATAAATGATCTATATTATAACCAAAGGTTTTGCAGTTGATATCATTTACCGATGGCATTAATATCTTCTATTTGCATTCTGACGCATCCCAGCATATGGAAGTTGTGATTTTCGAACTGAAAAAGACAGCTTTTTTTTTTTAACAAATAATCTAAAAATATTTAAAAATCTAATTTCATTACATTCAAGCCAAGATACAAAAAAGGTAAACACTTGATCTTGCTCTAAAGAGTGTTTTAAGGAACCTTCTCCCTATAGGAAAATTTATGCATCTATACAAATCTGGCTTACTTCCTGATATGTTTTTAGTGTCACACTACTTGCATTCTTATAGCTATACTGGTAGCCTGCGCCCGAAGGAGGTAACTTCTTCAGGCTTCAGGTATATGAAAGAATGGAGATCTCACATGTGAGAGGGTACGAAAATCTGTCGTTTCGGTCAGTAAAAAGGCAGGGCTGACAGATCAATTCGCGTGAAAAATTCGAGAAAACGTTCTGGTTTTGTGATGTGTGGCCCCGCCCCCCCCCCCCCCAAACACCAACCCCGCCCCTTCTCACCTCCCCGCTTGAAAATAAGGATCATTGTTTTTTGTGTCGCCGCAAGATCTTATTCTATTCTGTTACCTTTATCTGGTTGTAAGTTATAAAAAAAAAGAGATATTACCATTGTAAGGGGGTAAAAAAATTTTGTTTTTGGGATATAAAAAGAGAGGGTGGAAAAATTAATTTCGGGGAAAAATTCCGAAAAAAGGTTTGGTTTTTGTTTGTTGGCCCCCCCCCCCCCCCCCCAACACACACACACACCATGTATTCACCCCATTGCAGGAATAAAGTAAGAACGTTTTCATTTCTTGTACCAAGGTCCTAAATTCTTTAATTCTCTAAGTGATGAAATTAAAATGCAACAATTATCGCCACTTTTCTCTCTATTAAAACTGATAGCATTCCTTTGCTTCCAGCTCTTTCACTCTTTCCCCTTTTCGTTTTGTGTTTTTTAGCCTAACCATACCTCGTACAAATACCTAACATTTTATACTGTTAAGTAAGTCTGCCATTGATTTTGAATTATCATATTAATCATGGGTGACAAATTACGAAAAAAAATAAACAATGATCACTTCTACCCATCACTTGCACTCTCGTCTTTAAGATTAAAAGTTCTTCATTTTCTTTTGTCTAGAATAAATATACTCGACCGCGTTTTCTTAATTTGAATTGGTAAATTTTATCACTTAAAACCACGTGACATTACCTTTATCCCATCAGTCCTAAAGCACGTGCAAAGTTGGCGGGTATCGTGATTACACATACCAACTCACCTGGTGATCAGCGATGTATTCCATTCCACGAGCAATGTCGGCGGCAAATTGGTAAAGCAATTGCTTCGTTAGCTTCTGTGGGTCTTCCTTTATTTTTAAATTATAGTAATCATCATTTTCTCCCCTTCTTTTCTTTAGATATCCTCGTAGATCGCCATAAGGAGCAAACTCTAAGACGACAAAAGGTGGCCCTGTAAAAAGACAAAATAGAGTTAGGCGCCAAACTAAAATTTAAGCAAAATCTCTTTTCTTTTACTTGGAAATTTTCACTTCAATAAGTTAGGTGAAACGTATGTGTTTCTGACTGTCGATTCTCTCCATCGAAAAGTAAAATACTTTTGTAGTGTTAATGTGTGGAGCGCAGGGTTCAAAATAATTTTTGGACAGTTGGACGGTCATCAAATCTTAGCTCGGTTTTTGGCTCGTTTCCGACCGGTCAAAATGTTAAAGACTAGCAAACCGCTAGTTGGCATTCACAAAGCCGCAAACCGGGACCTTCTCATCACTATTCTCCGAATTTATAACTGCAAGCAGCTAAAATATTTTTTTTACGATTTAATTGTGAATGAATTAATGTGGATGAATTTATTTTTCCAGTTATTTATTTGAAAGCCATGCACTTGACCGGTCACAATGACCGGCCAACTAGAAGTTTGTCCGGACAAATGGTCATCTTGGCCGGACATTGTCCGTCGACCGGCCGTTATTTTGAGCCCTGGAAGCGCAACATTCAGTTTAGGACATTTTTATCTCAAGAACGTACACAAATCATAGGCCTTTCACGCGTTCATAACAAGCAGGCATGACTATTGTAACAGTTACTATGTCGCTTACCTTACCTCAAAAGACGCTGCCAAGCTTGATAGGGATTTGTTGAAAACTAACGGTGGGGGGCATGACCTTGCCCCCCACCGTTAGTTTTCAAACCAAACCGCAAAAGTCTGTAAAATTTCAGGAGGTTCATTAAACATTAGGTTCTTACACGCGGGTATTCAACTTACTTAAGTCCCTCCTTCCTTTGCATCTAACCTCATTTTTAGTAACACAGCCCAGCAACTGTATGACGTTTGGATGAGGTTTAAGTTTCTTCAGCAGTTCCAGTTCAGTCGAAAGGTCCTTGAGGTCTGACTTGGAAAAATTGTCTATGACAGATAAAAAACGATCTTTAATGCAAAATCTACCGCCTTTTTACAGACAAAGCAAACAAAACGTCATGCGCTGCCGATAGACACCAAGAGAAGCTTCCGAACATACTTAAGGTAGTACTTAACAAAACTGGAACAATTTTTGTGAGTTTTCATTTATTACAAATAGATATTTAGGTGATTGTCCGAACCATAGTGATAGGACCACTTTAAGGCTCTTTAAGTGAGTTCATGACGTTGGTTAATGTACGTGAAATAAAGTTATAACTCCAATAGTCGCTGTCTTCGACCCGTCACATTGGCGTACCCAAATGGGGGAGAAAACTACTGTAAAATCCCTAACTAGAAAAATGCTAAAAAGATTTTTTTTGTTTTGAACACAATTCTACAAGCATTTTTAAACTCATAAGATTTTAATATTAGCTTCAAAGTTATCTTTGGGAAAATTCCTGTGGAAAAAAGTGTTGCCATGGAAATGCCACGAAGTTTAGCAGGTCTTGGTTAATAGGTTTTAGTATGTTATTGTTTGCTGTTCCCTCCATTTCAATGTAAGACCACAATTGACCATTGTTAAACGTGGTCATTGTGTCCATGACAATTGTGTACATGGTTGAACACTGTCGCAAAATTCGTAATTTTGACCATAGTCGACCATGGTCAAATTTGTGTCATTTAACGTTCATTGTTGACCATGGTTACATCACCGCCGGACCATGTTAAACCATGGTTTTTCCAGAAATAAATAAATAAGAAAAAAATGTTAAACCATGCTAGCTGACCATAGATCATCTATGGTTAAACCATGGTTGACCATATTCTGACTGTGATCCTGAAGCAAGGGGCATGAGTGGAAGTAAATGGTTAAAGTCAGTGGGGATACTTTCCGTCTCTATTGGTTTAGATTGGGTTCCGAGCTGCTAAATAACGAATCTATCACACTCGAAATCATGAGTGAACCGAAGTCATATCTCATGAGGTATGTTTTACGACAACTAGTATTTCCCTGGTCCAGACTAGGCTACATGTGTTTACTGTTAATTTGAAAATTATAAAGTCGACGCTGTTCAAAAGAGTCTTAACCTTCGTTTCGACAGAGCTGCCTTCTTCAGGGTACAAGACTAAATACCGTTAACGAACTCTTTAACGGTACGGTATTTAGTCTTATACCCTGAAGAAGGAGGCATTGCCGAAACATCGGTTAAGACTCTATGAACAGCGTCGACTTTACAATTTTCAAGTTAACATTAAGTAGCTACGCTGCGCAGGGAATTTAATCTTTATTTTACATGTGTTTACTATGTACTTAGTAGTAAGAAAATTGTAATAATGTCTCATATTTGCACTCTCACCCATAAATGTTTTTTAGTGCCCCGGCCTGGTTCAAGACTTACGGTACACTTACTACAAGTAAGACAATTAAGCTTACCTCTCAGCATCTTGACAGCCACAACTGACTGCTCACCCATACCAGTAACATCATACACCTTTCCTTTCCAGACCTGACCAAATGCCCCTCCACCGATTTTCTTGCTTAACGTTAGATGATTAGGTGGAATTTCCCAGTTAAGGTTATAATAACTGTGTGTACAAGGTGACTCGCCAATAGCAATGGGTTGACGGGTGGCGCCTTGCGGGATCTCTGTAATTTCATATGTAATAGCCGGGGGTCGTTTTTTCAGATAGTTACTTGCTCCATGGAGAGTTGTTGCGATTGTTTGAAGATCGATTGGTGAAGTGGGCTGCTCTTGGCTCGTCAAGCCATGATTTGCAGACCTCTGTCCAGAAATAACTGGCTCAGGCAAAAACGTTGCCTCAGTGGCAGGTTGACTTCGCTGCTCTTCCATGTTTGTTGGTGATGTTGACGTCGATTCTTGAATGAACGGTGAAGATTCTGATAGCATCACGGAGTCATGCCTTAAATCTTCTGAATCTTGAGCCTACAATGAATCGAACCCACATTCAATTACGACAAAGTCTGGCGAGCTTATTTTTGGTAAAGAATATCTGGTGTTTACATCGTAACAAAAAGAAAAGCCGTTTCGTTTGCTCGAAGGTGAAAAGCAACAATCAGAACGCGCGAAAAGCCATATTCTCTGCTTTGGTTCAATACTTACCACAAAGTGTGAATGCAAGCTCTTTCCAGGGGTCAGTTTAGTAAAACTCTTACAAGTGTAATTTACAAGTGTGGCTATTGTTTTCAGACTCTAAAACAATGGCTACACTTGTAAATAATACTTCTAAGAGTTTTATTAAATTGACCTCAGTACTTAGAACATATTGGTCAACACTATGTTGACAAAGAAGATGCTTTTTGTGAAGTCGAAGCGTTCTTACCAACGGGACCCTTGGATTAATATCGCAAAACTATTAAACATCTATTAAACATCTCTACTGAACAAGCGAGGAGGGGTACGAAAGATAAGGTTGGTTTCGCTGCATTGATTGAACGTGTATTCGACAATGAAAATCCGTCGAGACAATAAGATTACCGATGGGAGGAGTAAACTGGAACTACTTTGCTAGTTTTAATAACTTTGTTAATCTGCCTTCGGGCAAAGTAAAGTATCCAAGCAGAGAAAGCATGATTCATTGCATGCTGCCTTAAATCCCCCAGTTCTTGCACGGTGTCAGTAAGAAAGCAGCAACTGGCCTTACTTAATAAAGAGATAAATGCATGCTTATTGAATAAAGGAGAAAACTGAAACGCTCAAGTTAAAAGTTCTCTTGTTATTCAAAGAGTCAAAGTAAATAGAGTTTTGATTTCAGTAATTTTAAAAATCAAACAGTGAGGATTCCAACTGTTGTCCGAAAAGGTTCCCTTTCGGCTTGAAGAGGTAAAGATAATTTATTACTGATAATTTATTATTATTTATTTAACATTGAGCCTTTGCATGGGTATTTCCGACGAAATCGAAGTCGCGACAATCGTCATTGGTAAAGCGAGGATCCTTGAGGTTAAAGCGAAGATCGCATTGTCATTTCAGTCAAGTTTGACGCGAGTCGTGCAATGACGACAAAGACACCCACCAAACTGAAGTGTACTGCACGTTCAGTGTTTTTCTTCAACTTATTTTCTCGTTTTTGCAGTCGTTGTGGTGGCGCCGAACTCGCTAGTAGCTTTAAGCCTGGTTTTCACCAGTGCATAAGCATAAGCATAAGCATAACGACATACG